CCGATGCGGGACTCGATCCAGGGACTCCAGGATCATGACCTGAGCCGAAGGCAGTCGCTTAACCAACTGAGCCACCCAGGCGCCCTGTTTATCTTTACCAATGAAATTTTTTTCTTTTATAATTTTCTTATTTCTAGTTATGGACTTTTCTTTTCCATTTAAGGAAATCCCTTTAACATTTCTTGGAAGGATGGTTTCATGTTGATGATCTCCTTTAGCTTTTGCTTATTTGGGAAACCCCTTATTTCTCCTTCAATTCTGAGGAATAACCCTGCCAAGTATTCTTAGTTGTTAAGTTCTTCTTCTATCAGCACTTTGAATATAGAATATAAAGGTCACTCCCTTCTGGCCTATCAAGTTTAGGGGCTTCCCTTGTATGTAACTAGTTTTTCCTTTGCTGCTTTTAAGATTCCCTCATCTTTAACTATTGATACTTCCACTGTAATGTGTCTTGGGGTGGGTCTCTTTGGGTTCATCTTATTTGGGTCTCTCTGTGCTTTCTGGACTTGGATGTCTATTTCTTTCACCAGATTAGAGAAGTTTTCTGCCATTGTTTTTTTTTTTTTTTAATTATTTATTTTGAGAGAGAGAAAGAAAGAGAACTAGTGGGGAGAGGGGCAGAGGGAGAGGAAGAAGCAGACTTCCTGCTGAGCACAGAGCCCAACACAGGGCTCGATCCCAGCACCCTGAGATCATGAACCGAGCTGAAGTCAGATGCTTAACCAACTGAACCACCCAAGTGCCCCCATTATTTCTTTAAATAGGGTTTCTGTCCCTTTTTCTCTCTCTCTTCTCCTTCTGGGACCCCCTAAAATGTGAATGTTAGTATGCTTGATGTCCTAGTGGTCCCTTAAACTATCCTCATTTAAAAAAAAAAAATTCTTTTTTCTTTTTGCTGCTCTGATTGGGTGATTTACAATACCCTGTCTTCAGATTGCTGATCTGTTCTTCTGCATCATTTAATCTGCTGTTGATTCCCTCTGGTGTATTTTTCACTTCAGTTACTGTAACCTTCAGCTGATGGGTTCTTTTTGTATTTTCTACTTCCATGTTGAAGTTTTCACTGTGTTATCCATTCATCTCCCCAATTTGGTGAGCATCTTTATGACCATTAAATTCTTTATCTGGTAGATTGCTTATCTCTGTTTCTTTAGTTTTTTTTCCTGAAGTTTTGGCTTGTTCTTTCATTTGGAACATATTCTTCTGTCTCCTCATTACCTGAGTCTCTGTTTGTTTCTATGTATTAGGTAGATCAGTTACATCTGATCTTGAAGGAGTGGCTTTATGCAGAAGGTATCCTGTGGGTCCAGTAGCATAAACCCCCAGCCACCCCAGTCAGCTGCCCCAAGAGTGTGTTCCCTATGTGGGCGGCATGCACCTTCCTGCAGTGACTGGGTTGCAGTTGGTGCAGACTCACAGGTGTGTAGGGCTATCCTCCAGCATGACCGTCTTGTGAGGTCTGACTGACTGCTACGGTCATGCTGGTTAGTGGGGCTAGCCCCTGGCCCATCTGACTGAAAGGCCTGGTTGTGACTGTTGTGGATATGCTGTTATGTGGGGTTGGTCCCTGGCATGGCTGGCTGTGAGGCCTGGCTATGACAGCTGTGGGTGCACTGGTGGGTAGGGCATATCTCCTTCTTGGCTTGCTGAGGGGTCCAGCTGTGACTGCTGTAGGTGTTCTAGTTTGTAGGGCTGGCCCCCCCATGGTGGAGGTGCTTAGGAGGGGTTCTGGTCTTAGCTGAGGCTGCCCGCTGCAAATGCTGGGGTTGAAGGCTGCTTAGGAGGAGCTCTGATGCTAGCCAAAGGCACCCACCAGGAATGCCAGTGTGTAGAGACACCTGGGAGGGGGTCCAGGCTGGGAGATGGCTTGGGTGGAGCAAGTCTGCAGGGGAACACTGGACAGAGTTCAGTACTAGCAGAGTAGATACAGAGGACCAGAAATGACACCCACCAATGCTGGGCCAGCTAGATAGAAGAATGGTACCCACCAGTGCATCTGTCCCTGGAGGACATTCCAACAGATGCCTGCCATTCTGGCCCATGCCCTAAAATTAGTCAATGGATCTCCTTCCCATATCACCCAGGCGTTTTTCAAGTGGTTGCCTCTGTGCTGGGACTCAAAGCCAAGTGTGATTGTGCACATGCCATTTAAGAGCAGAGTCTCAGTTTTCTCCTGCCCTCTGACTCTCTTGGACATAAGAACTGTTGGTTTTCATAGGCAGACATTATGGGAGCTCATCTTCCTGGTAGAGGTTCCCTGGGACGTGGAGCCTGATGTGGGGCTCAGACACCTTGTTCCTAAGGGCAGGCCTCTACAGTTGTGATAGCCTTCCCAGTTGTGGGTTGCTGCACTCGGGGTGTGGGACCTGACTAAACCATGTCTCTGCTCCTCCAACCAATCTTGATGTGTTTTTTTCTTTATATCCTTAGTTGTATATGATCTGTTCTGCTAGTCTCTAGTTCCTTGTCAGAGACAGTGTTCTTTTTTTTTAAGTAGGTTCCACACCCAGTGTGGAGCACAACATGGGGCTTGAACTCACAACTCTGAGACCAGGACCTGAGCTGAAATCAAGAGTCAGACACTAAATCGACTGAGCCACCCAGGCGCTCCTCAGAGATAGTTTTCTATATGTAGTTGTAGATTTTGATGTGTGTGTGGGAGGAGGTGAGCTCAAGATCTTCTCACACCACCATCTTGATTTTGCCTCTTTTTATGTTTTTTTATGTGTAATTTTTTTCATCTGGGATTCATTTTTGCTAATGTTGTGAGGTTTGGACCTAACTTAAATCTTTTTCCAGGTGGATAATCTGATTTTCCTAACACAAATGTAAATGCTGGAAATATGAACTAGTACACAATCTCTATGGAAGGTAATTTGGCAGCATCAGTCAGAATTACAAATTCCGTTTGATCAGCAATTGTACTTCTATGACTCTAGTCTATGGATGGACTTGCATGTATGCAAAATGACACAAATACAAAGTTATCCATGAAGTCAGTAGTTGTAAAACAAGATTAGAAACAATTTTAAAGTCCATCAAGAGGGAATTTACTAAATGAATCATGGTGTAACCATACAATAGAAACTATACAGCTGCTTTAAAGAAATTAGGAACTACCACATTGGTAAAGGAAAAACAGCAAAGTGCAGAATAATGTGTAAAGGTGGTATCATATGTGTTAAGAAAGGAAAAAGCAAAGCACATATGTATCTTACTGTATAAACATAAATTATCTCTGGAAGGATACATAAAAAACTGGAAATATTGATTACTATCAAGGATGGAATGGGTAGCTCAAGGACAAATGGTGAGGGAGACTTTTCAATATATACCCCTTTGTAGCATATGCTTATTTAAAAAATAAATGAAAATATTAAGGCCCAACTTAGATATCACCTCTAAAACAAAAATATGGGAGTTTATTAAAAGAAAAAAATTTTTAAATATAAATAACCCAGGTACTGGGTACACAGGTATTTGTTATGCTATCAGTATTTTTCTTTTTTTTTTTTTCCACTTTTTATTTCATTATAATGGTAAAATGCTCATAGTGAAAATCTCCAACTGTTCAGAGGGTAAAAAGCAAAAACCAAAAGCCCCTTCTACCCAAACAACCCTGCAGTTTTATTCCAGAGGTATATCAGTATTTTTCAATTAAAAAAATTGAATATTCATAAAGTACTAATAAGTGGCAGAATTACAGGTATTTAAATTTTTCTTTTCAATATTTTCTATTTTTCCTACAATGAACAGATATTATTCTCTGTAATAAGAAAATAAGACTTTTATATATAAAAATACAAATAAGTTGAAATCCAGAAAAAAATCACTATGTGGGAATAATGAATGTTGAATGTTTTCTACAGATTACATAAGATGTTCATTATTAGGATAAAAGTAGAACTACAGACTGGAGGATTTAAAAACAATAGTGGTAAAAATGGAAGAAGAATCTCCCCCTATTACATAACCTCCCAGTTCATGTCACCCCCACACAAACAGCTTTGATCAAGTGATTGTTTCCTGAAAATTCAAGTGTAGGATAACTCAAGTTATTGTAAGGGGATAAAGTGAAATTCTGAAGACATCAGTTCACAGTAACATTTATCAAGTCTCAACAGAGTGTTTTTTAGGGGTGTAGAGGGTAGAGGATGCCATCAGTTAAACACACAGGATATGTTAAGAGTATCAGTCTGCAAAAGTCTGGGAATCATTCTTGTCATCAAGCCTGCATTTACTTGCACAGGTGAAAAGATGAAATTTCTCAGAACAATATTCCAGCAAATAAGGCGAACCAATTTTCCATGGTGATATATCAACTATTTAGGCGATTAGTAATCACAATCAGGTTTTCTAAAGTTCTTTGTATGTCAAGTAATGTGCAAAAATACCTTTGCTTGAGAGGAATCTGCAGGTGCTCGAAGTACAACTGGCCCAGGGAGTTTATGCTCATCACAACCTCTTCTTCAGACACCAAATCTATCTTGAATGGGTTTGCTGTGATATTACACTTCAGATCTCCTTTTCCATCTGTCAATACCAAACTATCTGCATCCCCTGAACATGAAATCAGCCTAGAAAACAAAACAAGAAGAGAAAAACAGGTTACATGGCTCAATGTGATTCTCAATTCAAATTAATGTGCCTGGGTGGTTCAGTCAGTTAACCACCTGGCTCTTGATTTCAGCTCAGGTCATGATCTCAGGGTTGTGAGATGGGAGTGCTACTGAGCTCCATGCTGGGTGAGGAGTCTGCTTGAGATTCTCTCTTCTTCACCCTCTGCCCCTCCTCACCCCTCACCCCACCCCGCATGAGCTCTCTCTCAAAAAAAAAAAAAAAGAATTAATTTGTAAATCAATATTCATGTAACAGCATAGATAAGGCAGTGGAAAGCGGTAACTGAGAGCACGGGTTTTGGTGTCAGAAAGGCTGGATTGAACGTAGCTCTATCATGCACTAGGTGCATAACTTTGGACAAATTAATCAGTCTATCCAGTTCTCAGTTTCCTCATCTGTAAAGTAGAATTAACAAAAGCAAGAACAAATACAGTTTTCAGGGAGAATTAAATGAGATCATGCATGCAAAGCACTTGGCAGTGCCTGGCACATAATAAGCACTCAATAAATGTTAGCTATCATCATCATTACTTTGGTCTGGACAGCCTAGTAACACTTTGGTGCACTAAACACTTCGCTTTTCTCTCTCATGCCAACCATACACTCAGAAACTAAGGAAATAACCTAGATTGGATTTTGACGCACTGAGTCCATAGTGAGACGGATTCTCTCCTGACTTCCATCAGTCCCTAATTTGACAGGTAGACTGTTAGGATATTCTGGATTCCCAGGAATATGTAAGCTCAGAGGCAGCACTTAAAATCCCTTAGAGGTCTAGATATTCCTTTCTCGGTGCATAGTCACCCTGGTAAGTGGTCACATGCCTCTTTAGGGAAGGTGAGGAGGGATATTTTATGTTCTTATTATATCCTTATCAAGTCCTTCTCCATGGATTCTAGGCCTCCCTCTCAAGCAAGATGCCTGGGTTCTGGAAACTGTCTGGAGTTGGGTGGGAGGTTGTATCTCACTGTTCATCAAACCTAAGTGGAGTTCTTTTGTTTTTTGCACTTTAGTGCATCTATTTCAGTCCAATGGACCCTTTGATATATTGTTCATTGCCCCAAGGGTTAAACCATTTTGGGTACCATACATACAGGGCTACACATTATGGAAACATGTTCACCATGTCTCTATCAACTAAATGCTTCTGCTTTCATTCTGCCACCTGGAGTCTCACCATCTTCACTGAAATCAGGGAGCCCATTTTTTTTTTTTAAAATGGGTGGTAACTGAGAGCATGGGTTTTGGTGTCAAAAAGGCTGGACTGTATGGTCAATGGAACTTCTATTACAGCTAGAATAGAATAGAAGCAGAATATGCCATATTTATTACACAAAGAATAATAAAATCTATTTGAGAGAGAGAGCGAGAGAGAACAGGAGCAGGGGGAAGGGAAATGGGAGGGGGAGGGGCAGAGGGAGAAGCAGACTCCCTGCTCAGCAGGGAGCCCGATATGACACGGGGCTCTATCCCAGGACCCTGAGATCATGACCTGAGCCGAAGGTAGACAACCACCCAGATGCCCCTCAGGGAGCCCATTTTGATGGCATCATTTCCCACCATTATGTCTACCTCACAAAAGACATTCACTCACTACAATGCTTTCCAAGTGTTCCCTTACCAATTTATTTCTCAGTGAAGGGAATATCTTTTGGATCCTCTTGGAAAACAAAATTAGGGGCTAGATGAGCTGTTGTATATGATATATCCACTTCAACATCTTTACCTCCCTAAGTCTATGGGTCATTTCTTCTACTCTGTGCCAAGGAATTTCTGGTAGCTCAGCTTCATTCAGCAGAGTCCATAGCTGAATACAGATTATAATTAACCAACCAAGCAAATAATTAGATCCACTCCGTGCTGTCCAAGCTAGCATATCAAATCTAGATTTTCTGGTACATGTGCTCATGTCAATAAATTTAATGTGGTCCTAAAATTATGTTCCTTCCTTCAGTCTAGGAGCCCCTCAGAAATCATTTCCATCCATATCCCAGGTTTTTGCCAAGAGAAAATCCTGTAATTCCGTAGGTGTTGGGTTTGACTGTAATTAGCTCCTTAGGCATGCTGGGCTCTGATAGTGGTTTTAAAGGCAGCGAAGGGAGGTAGGGATGAGGCACAAGGAGCACTGGAATCCCCCTGCACAATATATCTTAGGTGAGGTCAACACAGGGTGTCCAAGTAAGGTAGGATCAGCTATGTTAGAGGAAAAGGAGCTGCTTCTGCTGGAACAGGAGGCTTGATGGAATTCTGAGGTTTGGGTACTCAGTTATTCAAATCTTCCCAAATGTTGATATTTAATTTTCCCTTTTCCCAGTTAGTGCCCTAAATTCACAGAACTGATGAGGCTGTAAATTAAACGCATGGTCTAATTCAGTGAACCACAGAATCAAACTCTCAGCTATAAGGACTTGGTAGCTATAACAGATATGAGAGACTTTTAGGACTGTCATAAAAACTTATTTGGTTTCTGACAAATGCCTGAGCTAAGAATTTAAAACCTGAGACTGTACTTTTCTTTCTTTAAGTTCTTCAGTTAATAACAGGCCACTTCAGAGTTTTGAGTTCTTTATGACAATTGTGCTATGCTATGTCCCTATTTCTTGGTTTGCAAGGGCCATACTTTCAATATGCACTTTATTTCAGTTGACCATGGGTAGTAATTTAAGTAACTCTGCCATGGAATGCTGTGCTTTACTGCTAGTTGTATTAGTTTGCTAGGCCTGCCACAACAAATGCCACACTGGGTAGGTAGCTTAAACTACAGAAATTAATTCTCTCAAAATTCTAGAGGCTAGAAGTCCAAGATCAAAGTGTCAGTGGGTTTGGTTTCTTCTGAGACCTTTTTCCTTGGCTTTCAGATAGCCATCATCTTGCTATGTCCTCACACAGTCATCCCTCTGTCTGTGTTACTTGTGTCCTAATATCCTCTTCGTATGGGACACAAGTCATATTGTATTAGAGTCCACTCTAATGATCCCATTTTAACTTAGTTACCTCTTCAAAGGCCATACCTCTAAATATAGTCACATTTAGAGGTATAGGAGGTTAGGGTTTCAACAAATGAGCTTGGGGGGGGGGCACAATTCAGGCCATAACACTAATATCTCATCCTTTAATGATAACCAGGTCCTTACTATTTTCAAATCCAGCCAAATCTGCTAACCAATCTCATATTCCCCTCCTGGAGGGTTTGTTACCTATACTCACTTCTGATACTAAAGTCTATATCAACCAAGAGTCAACTGTAGATTAAAGAAAACACTCTGGTTATTTTAGGTAGAAAATAAGTGACTTAATATGGGGGACTTAGGAGCTTACACATCATGGGAAGTGTTGAGGTAATAGAAATGACCCATAGAACAATACTGCATAACTGTATGGTCAATGGAACTTCTATTGCAGCTAGAATCAGGAAGTTGGATAATCAGAAGTCACTATGGCAACTGCTGGGCTCCAAGATCATGCCATGTCAGCTCCAGAAATCAGGAAATGACTGCCCTCACTAATGTACCTCTAGAGACATTCTATGGCTGCCAAATCCACATTAGCAAAATGGGAAGCTCAGTTCTGAAATCAAGATCCCTGTAAGTGCATCTGATTGGGAGAACCTGAATTATACCAGAAACTAGCTGCATGGGAATATAGGAGATGGAAGAATGTAGTTTTTAGCTTTCTAGTTAGTGCAGTAGTCAAGACAGGCCCTCTAGAAAGAGGTTGGAACAGAAGCAGAATATGCCATATTTATTACACAAAGCTAGTTATTGCCCTGACCCCAAAACATGGCAACAATAACACAGAAAAAGAGAAGTACAGATGAATTTTGCTTATGAACATAGTTGTAAAAATGTTAAAGGATGTACCAGTAAAGCAAATCCTCCAGGATAGTAAAAAATAATATACTGTGACTAAGTATATACCCACATCCATATACATACAAACACAAGTGTGCACGCAAATTGCAAAGTCTTACAAACAGTCTCTTTTTAATTCCTGTTTCATAAGTTCTTGGCATATAGTAGCAGCTCAATGAACAGACAGACCTATTTTGAATTTACGATGATTCTACTACAATTGAAATAATTTCTCCTTATAATTTATAGACTTTATTAAATTTTTATGGAATAATAATCTACATAAAACTATGAAAATATAGTGAAAATTAAAGCATCTGGCATAATCTTCTATTCCCTTGGTGAAATAATATGAAAAAATGACAGGAATCAACAGGCAGAACCAAGTTGAAATATCACTGGAAGGTGCGTGGAGAACTGAAGAAGATGCCGCAGGGATATGGAAAATGCTTTTTAATCCCCAAAGATTTTTTTTTCACCTAGACACTGATTATTAATTTATCTCTGACTCTCAATTAAGTCACATGTTAGACTTCTGAGACTACCTTTAATTAAAAGTGAGTCACCCTAACTGTATAAATTACGGCAAGCGAGTTTGGCTAGTGTATCAGATCTCTGGAGCCCTGCTGCTAATCTGAGGAAATTAAATAGCTCTGCTTCTACTTGTCCCCAAAGTCGGGTTGATGAATCCTTTTCTTTGTGAAAAAGGACAGCAGGGATCAAAAGCTCTGCCTCTCCCCATTTGTAAGTGCTGATAAATCACATGGTGGAGGAAGAGAAAACAGAATGGATAACATACAAAATGGATAAATTTATCCCCAAATAACTTGAAAACGAACTCGGCAAATGATGGTAGCTTTGAATAGAGAAAACAGGAGGCACATACAAAATCTGTTACTCAAGGTATGATAAACGCCCATATTGAGGGTGTATCCAAGATCTCTTGTTCCTTGGCTTACCTTACAGTGCTGGGCTTGCTTGTGAGGACATCAGGAACTTCATACCTGGGTTTCACGGGAGTTTCTTCATTGATTTTAAGCCTGAAAATATTTCCCTCTATACCATAAACTTCAGCCAGAAGAGAAACCTGGGAAAAGACACGAGATTAGTTTCAATAGGTTATTACCCCACTGATGGTCGGTTCTACAGTCAAATTGCAATAATTAGAAACTATGTTTGGGGTGCCCGGGTGGCTCAGTCGGTTAAGCATCTGCCTTTGGCTCAGTTCATGATCCCAGGGGCCTCGCTGGGAGGGAGTCTGTTTCTCCCTCTGCCCCTCCCCCTGCTTGTGCTCCCTCTCCCTTTCTCTCTCTCTAATAAACAAAAAAAAATCTTTTAAAAAAAGGAAGCTATGTTTGAATTATTACAGGCCAAATAAACTGGAGAACAATGGGAATTATGAAGGAAAAAGCTCCCCAAACTTTGTATGTACTTGTTTGGCTATACCTGACAGTAGAGCAAGAAATACCTTCTATGTGTTCTACGGCTAGGCAAACATATAATTGTCCATACCAGGACCTTTAAGGATGAAAGAGGTCTCTATTAATAATTATACTGAATGATGGGCATAAACTGAAACTGCTTTTGGAAAGCTGGGACCTATGGCCCTGTATCTATGACAAACTGCAGACATCTTAAGAACTTGGTGTTAAAACTAGGGGCAACTGGATTCCAGCTGAATGAAAGATGAAGGATAACAAGCCACAGAATGGAAAAGAATAAAGAATAAAAGTGGTCACTGGGGTTCCCCAGGATAGATGATTAAGACTTGCTATACTAAAATCAAGGCATTTCCTGTATACCTGGGAATAAGGTCTGGGGAACTTTCTCAGGAGGTTGGGATACTCTCAGCTTTTTTAAGAGGCTGGGGAATTTAGGTAAAATTCTGCCTACAGTGGGACATGGAAGCAACACAGAATTATAGAGAATATAGGATTTAAGAAATAAAACATGAGACAACAACAAACCTCAAGAGAACAGAAGTGGCTAGCTATAGGTTACAAGATGAGGCATCTAGATCAGAGAAATATGTATTTTTTAATATGCAGTCATCTTTATTATAATTCATATATACATTAAAATCAGACATGAATCTCTAATAAAAAACATCTAGGATCTCATGGGCTTTTGTTTTCTGTTCATTTATGTAGTTTGAAAATCCAGTTTACTTGAGAATGGTGGAAAAGGCCAAGTAGTATCTTAGTTTCATATGACAAGTTTTCTCCTCATAGGTATTCTTTGGGCATTTTATTTTTATTTTTTATTTTTTTAAAGATTTTACTTACTTATTTAACAGAGAGACACAGCGAGAGAGGGAACACAAGCAGGGGGAGTGGGAGAGGGAGAAGCAGGCTTTCCACTGAGCAGGGAGCCTGATGCAGGGCCCAATCCCAGGACCCTGGGATCATGACCTGAGCCAAAGGCAGACACTTAACGACTGAGCCACCCAGGCGCCCCTCTTTGGGCATTTTAATGAACCTGCCCATTTTTCAGTGCCTTCTGCAATTCCTTAGAGATTTCAATGGGCACCTGGCCTATGGAACATTCTATTACTCTACTGACTCTTAAGGTATGGTTCTGGGGCTACGCCTGAGAATTTGCTTTTCTAACCTATTGTTCCCTTTTGATTTACTCTAGCAGGCAGTTTTAAAAAGGGGTCAAATGTGCCAAAGCTTCCAAACCTCCATGCTTCTCTTACAGAAATATCATTTACTTTATCATTCATTTTACCAACTCTCCCTTCCAAATAAAGGACCCCAAAATATAAAGTATCACCTGCCAGTGTTAGATGAGGCTCCTCTTCTCTCCCCAAATCAAATTATTTAGGATTCTGAGTGATAGCAAGCCCCTCCAACACAGAGCTACAGTCTTTATCAAAAAAGCTTGATCAGAGAAATATTCTGACAGTTTTCAACCGCTGTGCTGTATAGCAGTGACTGACAGCAAATGCTTTATTAAATCCTTCATGTGATGCCAAATTCTCGTTACACTTGGGTACATGTATTGTCACTGTAACATCTGTTCAATGAAAGGCTAAGCTGGGCAGGCTGTGTGGGCCCTCGTTCAGAACAGGTACAATGTGGTGCAAGTAAGATAGCAAGCAGGGAGACTATCACAGCACTAAAAAAAAAAAAAAAAATGATTTCGCTGGAACTCTGCCTCTTGAAAATATAGGAAAGTAGTCAGGGCACTTAAGCAGTGACATGACACTTGAGAGTGACCAGGTAAAGAGTACAGTGGCTATGGCTGCTTTTACAGATAATTCTTAAGGTAGAGTTATAGTAGAGTAGTAGTGAGCACAGTGTAATTACTTTTTCTAGTTTTACTGAGATATAGACATATAATGTACAAACTTAAGGTGTACATTGTGTTGATTTGATACATATTGCAAGATGATTACCACTATAGCATTAGCTAACAACTGCATTATATCACATAATTACCATTTCCTTTTTGTGATGAGAACATTTAAGATCTACTCTTTTAGCAACTTTCAAGTATATAATAGAGTATTATTAGTTATAATCACTATGCTGTACAGGAGAATCCCCAGGACTTATTTTATGTACAGCTGGAAGTTGATACTCTTTGACCAGCATCATCCTTCCCCCACCCCAATCATACTGTAATTATTCCTTTCATGTCTAACATTCTTTTGTAAATTTAATTACTTCAAGTGTGTCATCAGAATTCTAAGATTTAAAAATGTGCTCAAATACCAATAAAGCTGAAATTCTGTCAGATTATGTTTTCTCCTAAGTGAGACCTATATTTCCATTGCTCTCTCAAATTCAACTAACAGTTACTTGGCATCTAATATTGGGATGTGCTGTGAAAAAGATGACCAAACTCTTAGAGGGAAATTGCAATTTACAGACGAAACACGGTAAACATAAAGCATGCTGTAAGTGCTGAGGGAGAAGGACAAGGACAGTGCTGTGGGAGAAGAGAGGGAATATTAATGATGACTTGTAAGGAGAGGGGTTCTGGGCTGTCTCTGGAGGAGCAGGGCCTTCAGGGACTAGCAGGACTCTGGATAGGCAAAATGAGCAAGAACATCCTAAGCAGAGGGCACACAGGCTGCCTACATATGATGAACAAATTGCACCTAGTTTCTCTACTCAGAGATCCTCCCAGTTTTAGGAAAATAGCTCTCTTTAAGAACAATATTTTTTAAAACCAAAGATTGGTCTGTCTGTTTTGTTCTTGAGGCTGCAGTCAGGAAAGAATCCTAATTCTATGAGGAGGCAGTTAATAACCCTGCTTTTCCTTTTACCATAATGACCTTTTACAACCAAACACATAAATCAGAGTCAAAGCTCCATTTTGTTTTCATTTTAGCTCAATTAAGCAAATGATTTTTTTTCCAACAGGCAATCCTTTTCAAGGTCGATATTCAGATTCATTCATTATCTCCTACTATTACCTACATAGCTTTCATGTTCCAAGCATATAATCTCCTTAGATATTCATATGCTTTGTTTCTCTGATCTGGCTCATGCTGTTTTTATTGACTTAAAAACATTTTTAAACAGCAACAGATTTTCAGAAGACCAATAAACAAAGCTACGTGGGTTAAAGACAGTGGGGAGTGGCTCGGAGCCCCTACCTTTGAGCCCTCCCTGAGCTGAGCTCTGAGACACCTCCATGGAGACCTAGGCTCTGTGGCTGACAGTTTAGAAACCACTTCTCTAGGTTTCTCAATTGCCAGTTATTGCTCACTTCTTCCACCAAAACCTTGCTCTTGTCAAAAAGCCTGGACATGAATGTTACACTCTTCTATCTAACACATTAAGAATTTCTCTATATTCCTTTTCTTTTCCTGTCTGGACATTTATGAAAAAGTAATATACAAATAAATGATGGAATCTCTTCTTCCTGTTAGTGATGATTGGAGATGACAATGAAAAGATATGTTAACTTACAGAAGCTAGACTGTGTAAACTAGGAGTTAGTGTGAGTACTTAGATCATAGTAGCAGTTACACTCAAATTGCAGCAAGATGGATTTATGTAAAACAAGTGAAGAAATGTGTAACTGAGCATCTTAAATATTTAAAAATATTTAAAATATTTAAAATCTGTAAATGTCCATCTACACAGAGAAAATGAGATAAATCCTCAGAGAAAGGAATCCATTTTAGAGGTTCCTTTTAAAGATTTTATTTATTTATTTGAGACAGAGAGAATGAGAGAGCACATGAGAGGGGGGAGGGTCAGAGGGAGAAGCAGATTCCCCGCTGAGCAGGGAGCCTGATGCGGGACTCGATCCCGGGACTCCAGGATCATGACCTGAGCCCAAGGCAGTCGCTTAACCAACTGAGCCACCCAGGCGCCCCAGAGGTTCCTTTTAAAACTACAAGTCTCCATTTGGTTTTTCATAAAGCTTTATTCAGAGGCTCACTTCTTGCAGTCTGGCAAAGAGTATTAATTCTCTTTTCCTATCTGATTTCTTTTATACTTAATAAAAACAAAACCTCTAGTCTGTCATCCATAGATCTAGTTTATTGTTGTTGTTTTTGGCCACATGGGCAAAAATATCAGGTTGTAAAAACCATGGTGGTAGAGACAGACTTGTCTTTGTATTCAAGTAGTGGACTGATCACAATTATATTAAAACAAAACCTGTTATTTACCCAGAACTGGGAATCACAACTAGTAGAGACTGTGATGGAGTTACCAGAACAGCCCTAGAACACATATTAAAATGGCAGTGGGTATTAGGAATGGAAATTATGACCCCGTCAACTTCTCCATGATGGATACAGATCTTGCCTTTCCTCTGGCACCAGGTGTCTTCACTGTACTCTAAGAAACAGTTCATCTAAAAGGCCTACAAGAGTGAGCAAGTTGTTGCTCAAGATCTCCCAGGATTCAGAGGACCATCTAAGAGTTCATTAAATTGCCACAGGGCACTAATTGCCCCTTCCACTGTTGCAGCCAGTTGGTTTACTGCAAGCACTGATTCTCTACAGAGAATGCTGGCAAGTTCACGCTGGTATTAGCCCGTTCCCTAAGGACAATTAGCCTGTCCAGGTATGCTTCTGGTTGTTTGGCTAGTTCCCAAATTAGCTGCCTGTTCATGGCCACTTCTGCAGAAACACTACTGGCTAACAAGTGGTAGTTCTTCCTCATCTGCTGAGGAGATGGCGGGTTGGGCAAAATCCCATTTTCATCAGGCTTAGAGGCAAAGGCAAGGAGTGACTTAATGGAGGTGCTCAGAGATATCCCTGCATCCTTGGAGATGCTGCCAGAAGTGGAGTCTCTGGTGAAAACTTGCAAACAGGCTGCAAAGGAAAGTAAACATGTTGCTAAAAGGTCATCCATGTTATGAGAAAGCCTCAAAATTGGCAATATAAAGCAGGTCAAAGACCTAGGTCTGTTCCAGATAGCCTTGATAGCAGTGCTTTGTAGCTAGACTCAGAGGACAGAATACATTGCTCTGCTCTGAAGTCACAAGACTGGATTTTACCATGTTTCTCAATCCAGGTCAAATTTTCACTGAAGGTAAAAAAAATTGGTAAAAAAAAACAAAACAAAACTCTAAAAAGCAGTCAACATTTTACTGTTAGCTTTCTTTTTAGATGTTCTCTTGGAAGTCTCTTTACCAAATATCTACCTGATTATTTTTTCATCAGGAATAGGCAACACACTATAACAGGACCCTGTATATGAGAAAACTTAAATGCAGTTTAACCTACAACTGGCTTTTATTCACAGCCTAGATGTCCTGAGCTGGAGACAACACACAGGGCCACACTTCAGTTTGTTCTGTAACATGACCGTGTCCCAGGAACATCATGTTTGAGCTGAATTGTGTCTCCCCCAAACTCTAAATTCGTATTTTGAAGCACTGCCCCTCAGTATGATGGTATCTGGAGATGGGGCCTTTGGGAAGTGATTAGGTTTAGATAAGATCATGAGGGTGGGGTTATGATGGGATTAGTGCCCTTAGAAAAAGAAACCAGAGATTTAGCTCTCTCTCCACTATCTGAAAATATAATAAAAAGATGATAGTCTATAAGCCAGGAAAAGGGTCCCCAAAGACACCTTGATTTTGGATTTCCCAGACTCTAGAACTATGGTAAATCAGTATCTGTTGTTTAAGATACCCAGTCTATGGTATTTTGTTATGGGAACCTGAGCTAAGACAATGTTGAATGAAGCTTGGTTCTGTTTCCTGGTTACTTATATTGGGGGAAGGGGATTGAGAAGAAGATTTCAAAAATTAACAGATCTTGAGAACAAAGTTACTGCTTTAAGAGATGTAATGGTGTGGCGGCAGGCAGAGACACTAAGAATGCTGGGTTTGTCAGAATCTGCTGAATCCGTGAAATCTGAGAACTATAGCTGTGAGCTGAATATGATCCTCTTAGACTTTGGACTCTCTCTCTCTGAACCTGAAGTAAAAAGCTGTCATTCTGAATAAGTAGATACGTGCAGCTTGTTTTAAATCTCCAGACCACACCTCTACCATGTCCTAACATGAAATCTCCCATGAAACACCCATTTCGTCCCAGAAACCACCTCAAATGGAGGCTGCTTGTCTATACAGTGAGCTGGATACAAGGTTCAGACAACTTTAGAGATTAATGTCCGGGTCCTCATTGTCTCTACCAGACTGACAGAGGACATAAAATCCTGAGTCTCTCTTAGTCATCTCAACTCCAAGTGACAAGAAAGCCCAGAATTTCAGGGTGATCCCCTAAACATATATATTTGCCTGAGATCAGAGCATGCAGATTCTCTATGCAGCCCCAGTATTTCTAATACCTGAACATGAAGTCTGTTCCAAGGGGTCCTCAAAGTTCTCAGTCCTGGGAGCCATGTTACTGACATCCTGGATAACCTGCCCTTGCTTGTTGGGCTTCTCAACTCCCTTCTGAGCCATGTGCTACCTTCTGCTGAGATTCTGTGGGTCCTCCTGGACTGTGGCTTCTTTTCCTTGGGAGGCATCTAGATCTGGTGGACTCTGGTTCTGGCACCTGACCTGAACAGCATTGTCTCTCACATTTTCAGGCTCCAAAGAGGGATGTGTATAGAGAACTGATCTACAGTTTGGTAAAAGGTTGTGTGTGGGGATCTACCACTAACTGCACTGGTATCAAGGTGCATGGACATTTGCATTCTGGCCCACAGAGTGCTTTTGCCTCATTTACTTTGCTTCACCATGAGTCTTCATGACAGTGGATATTCAGATGCTCAATATACTGAGGCTCCCCAAGGATGGAAAGTGATTCTTGCCCTGACTATGGGATAGCTACAACTCTCTGGGTTTAGACACACTGGAGACAGGAATGAAAATGAGCAAATGACAAAAACAAAAACAAAAACAAAAAACCCCCAAAACAAAAAAACATAAAACAAAACAAAACAAAAAAAGAAAGGAAAAAGAAAGGAAGGTACCTGACATCTGGTGGCAGGCTTAATGACTATGACTCTTGGAAGGTTCCTAGTGGACTCCTTGCATTTCCTGGAGCCAACTGCTTCTGTTGACTATGAATACAGAGGTTTGGCTGGGTGTCAGGCTATTAGACCACATGCAAATGGCAGGTGGCTCCCCAGGAAGGAAATCAGTGCTACTCCATGTTTTCCCATGAATAGCTATCAAACTATGCTAAAAAAAAATGATTAGTATAGACATGGATCAGTTGTAGAGGACCTATGACTTTGGGCGGGGGGGGAGTACCATGAACTAAGAACTCAGAGGCATCAAAGATGCCAAGCAAGGGGGCAAATGCCTCCAGAAAAAAAAAAGGTGGTATAAAAGCAGCACTAGGTTTCAGAGAAAGGTTAACCATCCCATCTGTGTAGTTAAGAGACATGAACTAAGTATACTGCTACCACAATATACCCTTAAGTAACCAGAAGTTGGGGACAGGGGACAGGGATAGAGAACACAGAACTGTTGACATGATTTTAGCCCTTATTTTGAATTCAGGCAAGAAAAGTATGTTAGAAAACTCCACATCTATGAAATAGCTAAATTTTCTAAAATTTGTAAGGAAGGTAGCCTTCCTCAGTGTGCAACTGATCCTCCTGTCTGGGAATAAAGTTGGAACCCTTTGCTAAATTAAAGGTCTTACAAATGTTATAGAGAACCCCCTGCTGTGGAGAAGTTTTTATTCTGTCTTCCCTGAAGTGGTTCCTCAGTGCAGCACCATGGGGTGAGAACTATGCCACAGGGAGATCTCTCACAACTTTGCAGGAAAAGGGGGGATTTCTTCTCAGTCACCTGTTAGGGAACCTAGACTGCATGGCTTTAAGTATGTCTTTTAGTTACATGAACTACCAATTAAGTCATATTGGTTTGAGAGGCCTTAGAAGCATCTGAAGCTTCTAAGAAGACAAGGAGGCTCTAGAAGTGAGGGTCAGGCTAGGAGCATGGGTACTTGTGCACGGTCACACTTCCTGGCTCAGCCCATATAGCACTTCCTCTGTGACTGGCCCATCCGAAGTAGCATGATGACTTGACAAGTGAGAAAAAGTACTTAATATACTGCTCTAATCCTTTCAGTATGTAATAACTAGGGTGATCTGCTAGTGAAGCAGTTTAGGAGATGGAACATTTGTGACTTAGGTTTTCAACTATACAGTCCCTTGTTCCCCTGGCCCACCCACATTTTGAGGTTTGGACAGTCACTGAATCTGTACCTTGCTCAGGCTGCACGCTCAAGTGCACACTGTCTAATAGTAACAGAACATGGGTACTTGATAGAGTTGACAGATGCAGGTGAAAACTCTGATTACCAGCTGCATGACTTTGAGCAGGTGACTTTCTAGTCACTTTTCTGTATTATGAGGACGAATTAAAAGGAAATAACATTTGTAAAACATCTAGGAAAGCATGTGATACACAGGCAATCTATAAGTTAACACTCACATTACTGTTAAAGTAGTATTCATGTATATAACATTGCTTTATCTACACTAGTGTAGATAATGTTACATTATTACTGTAGATGACATTACTTCCCTAACGAAGTTTATTTTTGAAGCATACGTAGTTTTAATTAGCCTTTGTGGAAATTTACTTCATTCAAACCCAACTTAATATAGAAACAAATAATTCTCTGTAGGAAATACTTCTCTCTCACCTTGGTTGTTTCACTGATGATTTGGAACTTGGTGCTGTCTTTGCCTATTGTGGCTGAGTCTAGTGATGCCTGATAGGTGGCTCTCCTGGAGAGCTGCTGTTTCTGACGCCTGCCGATATACAGAATACAAATACTTGAGAATTATTTGTGACTGTCAGCATCCAAAAGACTATATTATCATGTGGAAGTCATTAAACTTCACTATGATGGTAAATGAACTGGGTCCAGGCAGTATTAGTACTCTAATAAAGTACTAACAGGAGTACTTTGTTATTACAGTGCCAATAAAATTAGTACTAATAAGAATAATACGAATGAAATTGTTCAACATAGCACTGCCCAAGGATGGCATTTTGTCCACTTTATTGAGAAGGTGGGGCAGTTTTCATAGATGACATTTATTATCTTGTTAATTTTCCTTCCTCTTTCCATGAAATGTACACTTCAATAGAAACTCAATAAATTCTAATGGAAATCCAATATAATCCAATGACTTAACAAAATGACCAAGAGTTTCCTATAGAATTCCCTCTAAGGTACCTATTCAGAATTTAGGTGATCTGATTTTCTTCCTTTAGAGTAGTGTGAATTAATTAGAAAGTTGTAACATAGGATACAATTTTTGGTGGTTTCAGGTTTAGGATCACGGAAAGACACTCAACAGAAAGATTTTAAAGAAATTTTTTTTTTGAAGCTCTGGGAAAATAGGTAATCTTATATAGTGGTGATGGGAGTACAAAACGGTACAATCCCTATGGGGGAGGGGGCCTCTGGTAATAGGTATAATTTTAAATGTATCTATTCTTTGATGCAGTAATACCATTCCTGGAAATTAATCCTATAAATACACTTGTAGGTGTAGGAAATGACATATGTATAGCTTTTCATTATGGCATGATTTTATAGCTAAAAGATTAAAAACTCAAGGATCTACCAATAGGAAGGAGACTGAATAAATCATAGTACATACTACACAGCTATAAATAGAGAGGGCAATCTCTATATACTCATGCAGAGCTCTTCAGAATAAACTATAAAGCAGAAAAAAAAGGACACAACAGCATATATAGGAAGCTACTTGGTATAAGAAAGGCAGTGATATAAGAATGTATGTATTTACAAAAAGAAATACTGGGAGGATAAATAAGAAATTAATAAATCTGGTTACTTAGAGGGACAAGATGTGGAATGGGGTGATGGGGACAGGCATGGGAGTAACACTTTTCAAAGTATATCTTTTTATATTATTTGACTTCTGAAACCTGTAAAAGTATTATCTATTCAAATACATAAACACTTTTAAAATAAAATATGTATTTATTGAGAAATTTAAATAAGACAAAGTAAGTGTATAAAGGTGAATGTCTCCTGTCTGATGAATTTCTTAATGATTACATTTCCTAATTGACCCTTTCCTTAAAAAGCCTATAAACATTGCAATATTGAAATGTTTTGATCTAGGTAATACATTTCCTCTCCTTACCTGTAGAAAGCAATCTTGCTGCAATCTTTGAAAATGTTTTTATCCACAGCTTCACCTTCAACACTAAATAAAAAGACATTTTAAGAAACATATTTTCTACAAGGTCTGTGAATCCAATTTTTGTTCCTGCTCTAACTATAGCATGAACACAGGTAATAAACTTCTGCAAAGCAAAACTGTGTCATGGCCATAACATAACACGATAGCTGCTGTGCTGCAGAATAACATCCTTTTGTAAATCACACAAGATAAACAACAAAACATCAAGTTCTGGGATTACTCTGAAAGCACTGGAAAAAGAGTATTGTCACTTACAAGGAAGAGTTCTTTTAAAATAATGGCTGAAGGCTATGACTACAACAATAAAATTAGAAGCAAAAACACACAAAAAACCCAAATGAAAAAAAAATCTACCCACTTATTAATTCAATAAAATATTTTCAGAATATTCCTACTGAGTGCTGGGCTCTAAGGAAGATATGAAGAGATGTGTCTGAGCTTCCTACAAGAGCCTAACCAACAAGCACAAATCAACCTGACAAATGCTTTAACAAAGGTATATGCAAGGAGAATAATAGAAACAGATGTAGAAGGAAAATTTTTTGCTTTTTAAGATGATGCTGGCAATTAGGAGCCAATGCTTTCTAAAACCAAGTTCCCAGAACAGCTGTTTCTGGAATAGAACATGAATAAGATACATGCATATTGCTACTAGAGAATATGTATTTAAATTAGCGTCCAGTGGCACCTGGCTGGATTAGTCAGTCCATGCAACATCTTGATCTCGGGGTTCTGAGTTCGAGAGCCCCGTGTTGGGTATAGAAATTTCTTAAAAATAAAATCTTTAAAAAATAAATTAGCCTCCGTATGATTAAAACAACCACAGGCTGTAAGGAGGGGGAAACACACTGGCCTTCAAGCAGACATGTTGCTGAATACAGCTGTAGTCAGCATGTCTATGAATATGTAGGAAACTATGATTGAACACAAATTTCGAGATATTAAGAAAACAAGCCCACACAGATACACTTGGCTGTACTAAATTATTTTCTTGGAAGTCATCAAATCCTTCACTGATGCAGTCTTTGTCACTGTTTCTTTTAATCAACTGTGCAAAGATTAGAGAAATTTGCAGTCTTTGCTTTCCAGCTTTGAAGAATGAGCTCTGTAATAATATAGGAAGATGGGGGTACAGCTGAACATGGAAAGCAACATGCTTGAAATTCACATGTTACAGTTCTGATCACAACTCTTCAACTGTTTTGTGAACCATCCTGAAAGTATTTTGAGGGGCTATTAATATCAACTAATTCCCTGGGGAATTGAGAAAAAATGATAAAGTACATAAATATGAAACATGCAAATAAGAGGCCATTCAAACAATCAGTAAAACCTTCAAAACCAGAATGTTGCTTTCAGCTACTATCTATCCCCTGCTGTCTGGATTCAGTCCCTGCAGGACCAACACTGGGCCTTTACCTGATTTCCTCTTTCCCAGCAGCTTCCATGGCTTCCCAGTCAATCCGACTGACTTTCAGCGCTCAGGGCAAGGCCAAGGGCAGTCTTTTTTAAAACGCCGATTGGACGTTTTTCTAAATTACAGCCAGGACTTCACCACTGTCAGGTCCTGGGAAACGGAGTCCTCTCCAGGTCCTTAAGGACTAGCAAATCTGCACTTACTACTGGGTTTTCCAGGCCCAAACTTGCGTTTCGAGGGATTTAGTTGGCCACTTTTTCTTGGTTACGAGCGCCCGACGAAGAACTGCTTTCATTAGGAACCAATACTGTCTTTGCAGTGGAGGGGGCGTGTACTCAAAGAGCCCTAGAGGATAAAAGTCAAGAGCGTGAGAACCAGGAAGTACCGAGACCGCTTGCCTGACCCAGGCCAAATTTCTGCAGGTTTATCTCAGTGACCGTGACGCCACAGGTACTGAAAACTGACCCACTCTTTCAGTTTTTAATAGAAAGTGCTGGCCGGCTCTGTGCTGAAGATTGATGTTCCCCGGTCAAATTCTGCAGCATCATACTTTTCAGGGCTAGAACGGTCTTTATAAAGGGCATATCTACTACAGTCCAAACAGTTCAGTAAGTGCTTATACTCTACCACTGCCAAATTCCAGTCTTTGCTTAAATATCTCCAGAAAACCGAGAACTCACTACTACACGCCAAACAGGCGGACTTACGGCTTTCCCAGACTTCTGGCCCCAGCGACTGACTTTGATCTAGAAGGGACGACAGGCTTGGGCGAACGAGAGGAGGAGAGAGCCAAACGCTACATTGGGTGCTTGCTTGGTCCCCAGACCCTTTAAGGGCCGGGAGAGAGAAGAGCCGACCGAAGCGGAGACGGCTTTTGGTGAACATCCTAATGCTCCAAGGTGACCGGGTTACCACGGGACTACGCCTGCGCTGTACGGTCTAAAACTCACACGAGGTCGTGACGGCTGGCTTAGGGAGTGGCTGCTGGGTGGCAAAACAAACAAGCACCGCGAGGTTTCGAGGACCCGGATATTCCCGCCCCCAGAGCAGAGCCGGAAGAGGGCGGGGCGAACCGGAAGAAGGTGAAATGCTTTCGGTAGGCGCTCCACGGCTGTGAAGATGGCGGCGGCTGCGTGGCTTCAGGTGCTGCCTGTCATTCTTCTTCTTTTGGGGGCTCAGCCGTCCCCATTGTCGCTCCTCGGTGTAGGACCGGCACCTGTCGCCGCTGCCGACCGATCCAAGTGGCACATTCCGATACCGTCGGTGAGTGTTCACTTCAGAAGCAACTGAGACTGGAGGAACAAGGGGTGGGGCTACGGCGGCCCTAGGGGTCCATGAAGGTTTCGCAAAAGTCCGCTTCCGAAGGGGTGGAATTACCTGGAGCGTCTGTGTCGCTGGTTAGCAGGGACCCACCTCCTTGGAGTGGAAAGCCGTGCACTTCTGTGGGTAGGTTAGCGGGAGTGCCAGGGCCACTTCAGGAGCGGAGAAGAATGGTGGAGCGGTTTCTTATCAGCTAAGTCAGAACTTTGAATGCTTTATTTGAGACGGGAAAGTTGATGAATAGGTAGAGAACGGTTTCCCTTTCAGCCGGTTTCACAGAATCCAGTGACCCCGAGTTGGATGAGAGCGATCTGAAATTGGTGTCTTTCTTTTTTTGCTCTGCACTTCTTTATTACTGGATGATTCTACTTACGAAGTTGTTTGATTTCATTGGAACTTTGTAGTGGTTATTCTAAGCTTTGCTGTGTGATTAGGAAGCCTAGGCATTTAAAAAATGTATTCTAACATGAGAATGGCTGAAATGGAAGAAATTGTATTCTAAAATTTGATATGGTAAAGGTAGTCTTTCTTTTGGACAATTTACTAGATAGGTTGACCCTTTCTGTCCCCCCACCCCCTCCTTTAAACCTCATTTGAGTAAGAGCTATAGTCCTGCGAGCCAGCAAATCAGATGCACCCAGGAAATGCCAAAAAGCATTTTGTCCTTTTGAAACCACGGTGGACTTTTTGTTTCGTTCTGCTCTGCTCACTGGTTGTAATGTCCAAATCTTATTTGAGCTTTTACATAGCAAGCATTATAGCTTTTGTTCATTTGGTGAAGATCTTCAGGTTCTGACTTTTAGGTGTTGTTGCTGAAATGGTTACTAGTTAAATTCGTCTTGTCTGCTCATACAGTAGTTTATTTGAAGAAATGATTGGATTATTCTTAACAGTGATTAGTGAGTAAAGGGAATAAACTAATTAAGGAGTACCTCCCATGAAGATTTAAGTTGGGATTTCTGTCAGCTTCTCTCCTAGAGTCCTTGCTTCATGGCTTGCCGGGGGGGGGGGAAAAAATTGTGTCTGCACCAAGCTACAAAACTGCAGTTTGGATATGGTTGAATTTTACTAAAAGGAAGGATATTGATGTATTTTTTGTTGTTAAGAAAACTAACTTAAACATTTTATAAATTTAGGTTTTTATAACAATTATATTCTGCCTTGGGAATTAAAGTGAGCTGATGCTAATTATCTTTCTCTCCTTTATCTTTGCAGGGGAAAAATTATTTTAGTTTTGGAAAGATCCTGTTCAAAAATACCACTATCTTCCTGAAATGTGAGTTTTTGCATTTCATGAAGTTTTTATTTGAGTTTTTAAGTGATCCTTAAACTTTTTAAATTACCTAGTTTCTATCTCTGACCTACTCTAAACATGAACTTCAAAATTTAATAGTCTGGCACTATCTAGGCATAAACATTGTAGTGTAATTAAGGTCTTTTCAGTGAGTAATTTTCAGAATACTTGTGTGAACTTTATTTTATTCTCTTGTTTCTCTGGTGTTTACTATATACAGTTAGACAAATTATGTTGTTTGATTGTCTGCATGGTGTTTTAATCTGTCCTGTGTTAGAGATACCACTGACTTTGCTTTTGTGTGCTTGTTAGATGTTTACTGAACACATGACTTAGGTTTGTCAGACCTTTGGCTCTGAATGAATATGTTCAGTAAACCTTTGTTTACAGAAGGAGTATTTTACTATTTGGATCTTTGGAAGAGGAAGCTCAAAGATATTACCGGGGTATAGGGATTATATAGAACAAAACCAGTCTGTCCAGTGAGAAAACCACTGTATCTGAATCCAGAATATCCTGTTGCATATTAAAGAAAGGCTTCCTTTTATTTTTGAAACTTGCTTTATTTTAGGGTAAATGATCATGGATAGCTCTGTTTCGGGATCAGGGATAGAAGTTCAGATCATCCGTGTGTGCTTCTTTGCATGTCTTTCTCCATGAAAGTGCAAAGTTGTAAGTTGTAGTTGGATGATTTTGTTTTAATCATTTAGTAAGTAGTTATTAAAAACCTACTATGTGCCAGGCATTGTTTTAAACAGCAGGGAAGTGATAGAAAAGGCCCTCTCTCTTCCTGAGCTTACAGTCTAACAGGAGTGAAGGGGGCCAGTAAAATTTCTATAAAGAATAGACTATGTCTATGAAAATACAATCTCTTGACTGATGACTTAAATTTGGTTTAAATCAGATTACTGAAATAAACTGGTCTGTCTTGTGAGGTTGATGTGCTAGATAAGAGTAACTTTTAGGGATAACAGTATTTGGTTTTTTTGAATAACCTGACAGCCTGCATGCTGGTCTACCTTTTTATCATGTATAGTCTTTTCTCACCTGTATTTTGATCAGCTGGTGCTTTGCCAACTTACACAAGCTGCATTATTTTGCAGTGTTTACATTTCATTTTTTGGGAGAATTTGAGGCTCCTTAAAAATTACATTGTCTTTCATTTTGTTACTTCTCTGCTTTCTCACATTTACCTTGTCTCTGATTGTATACTTTAGGGCTATCTATGTAGCTTTCCATGAAATTGCCAGGACCATTTTCGTCTCTTAATGCCATCCATTCAAAGTTCTGAATGGTGTCTTTTAACATACATAGTATTTTTTCAGCCAAGTCTTTCTGCAGATCTTCTGTTTAGGGGATTTTCTTATTGGCTCTGTTGAGTTAATCCCATCTTTGTATGGTTCTTCTGAATAGTTAACAGTGAGATCACAAATATCCTTTTTATCATTTCCATAAATTCTATTTAGCACATCAGAGTTTTGTGTATTTTAATTGACCCTCGTAAAAGTATGTCACTTGAAAATTAATTTGAGAAAACAATTTAAAACAAAGAAAAGGGAAAGGTAATAATTTTAGGTGTGGACCTTTTGTTAAGAACCAAAAATAGATTCCTAGATGCAGTCATGTTTATCTTTGTCACATTTGTATAAGGCAGGTATCTTCTAGTATATTTTCTGTAACACAGCTGGAATCAAAGATAAACTGACTTCCAGGTGGGACAGCTGATCAGTGATACAGTCAGATTTATGCTCTCAAATTTTCAGACTAATGCCTTGGTCCACTAGAATACTCTTTCCAAACTATGTTTAATTAGGTATGAGGCTCTGACTCATGAGGTTCGTTGAGGCCTTTCTTAAGGTGGGTTTTGGAAAGAGTCTTTCATTTTTGCTTTTAGTCTTCCTGCCTTCCCCAGCCAAGGTTTGCTTTTTTTCCTTTTTTCTTTCTGTCTAGTTTTGATATCTTTCAAGGTCTAAGCCATTAATTTTTCCCTCAGTGGAACTCTTTTGAATACTGCCTTATGATGTCCCTAATGTTATTCCTTGTTTCTCCAACTAGAATGTAGCCTCCTACAGAGTCCTGTTCTCTAGCCTAACAGTGTCATGTAGCTTTGTATACTTAAGTGCTCTGCTCAGTAAATATTTGAATGATAATAGAAGACTGGTTTTAACTTAGGACTGCTGTATCACTTCCAGGTTTTTTGCAACAGAGAACCAGAAATTGAGGTTTTAAGGCATAAAAGTAGATACATTTAAGCAGGTCAGAAACTTCTTTTGTGAACAACAGTACTTTTATCTGAAGAATATCCACTTCTTTTTACGTATATTACTTCAGTACCTTGTGTTGGGAGAAGAGATGGTCTTTGAGTATCTAAATTTAGCAGGAAAAATAGAATGTGTAACAGTTTAGGAAAAATGCTTTGGGAATCATCTTTATTCACAAAGTTTTCTTCTTTTATAGTTGATGGAGAACCTTGTGATGTATCTTTGAATATAACCTGGTATCTGAAAAGTGCTGACTGTTACAATGAAATATACAACTTCAAGGTAAGGAATATAAAATTAACAGACTTTCTTGGACTTTAAATATCATCCTGTCCTACCTTATAGAGGAAGGAGTGTCATGTAGCTAGCAGGAGAAGAGCTGAAATTAGAATCTTCTGTGCTTCCCAGTTTGCAGACCTACTATGCTAGCAATTCTCAAACTTTTTGGTCTCAACCCTTAAAATTTACTGCAGACTTCTGCTCACTTTGGCAGCACTGTAGGAATGCTGACAGTACTGAATCCCATCTTCGGCCCTCCATTTTGTTTATGTTTGTTTAGTTGCTTCTCTTGTGGGGCTATGTGTTTCAGGCCCCTTGGAGATTATTATAACATAACCTTAGAAATATCCAAAAATCTATTATCAAACTCAACAACCAGAGAACAAATAATCCAGTCAAGAAATGGGCAGAACATATGAACCACATTTCTCCAAAGAAGACATACAAATGGCCAACAGACTCATGAAAAAATGCTCAACATCACTTAGCATCAGGGAAATACAAATCAAAACCATGAGATACCACCTTATACCAGTCAGAATGGCTAAAATGAACAAGTCAGGAAATGACAGATGTTGGTGAGGATATGGAGAAAGGGGAACCCTCCTACACTGTTGGTGGGAATGCAAGCTGGTGCAGCACTCTGGAAAACAGTAGGGAGGTTCCTCAAAAGGTTGAAAGTAAAGCTACCCTACAACCCAGCAATTGTACTACTAGGTATTTATCCAAAGGATACAAATATAGTGATTCGAAGGGGCACATGCACCCCAGTGTCTATAGCAGC